TACTGGTATATGCTATAAAATGAATGAATCTTGAAAACATTCTAATAAAAAAACAGACATCAATAACCACAGATTGTATAATTTCATTTATATTAAATGTTAAGAATAGGCAAATTCATAGAGACAGAAAGTAGATCAGTAGTTGCCAAGAGCCAGGTTTTGAGGGGGAACAGGGGATAATTGCAAATGGATATTATGTTTCTCTCTGAGGGTCAAAATGTGCTGAAGTTACATAATGGTGACAGTTGCACAATTTTGTGAAAACCCCTAAATTGTACCCTTTAAAAAGGTAAGTTGTATGTATGATGTGTGAATTATATCTTAATTTTACAAACAGGCAATCACCAACAAAAACAAAGCAAAACAAAAAGGCTGAACTGAATTAGGATCTATATACCTCTCTGGACTCACTTTTTTTCTAATAATGTCACCATCCACTTTATTTGAAAAACATAGTTTTTCTTTGGCTTTATATTCTTTTTCTGTATTTTCACTTTCGAATGCCAACTTTACCAGCTCTGGTGTGATTAACTGTTCCAGTTTCCCCAGGACTAAAGGGGTTCCCAGGACATGGGACTTTCAGTACTGAAACACAGAAAGTTCCAGAAAAACCAGTTTATTCTTGCATGATCTTGAATAATTTACTTAATTCCTCTGCTCTTTGTTTGAGTGCTGGTGAGACCCTCTATACTGCCTTTTACAATCTTTCCTTCTAGCTCTACACATTCCTATGCTATTTCGTTTATCTTTATGGTTTTTACTATAAAGTAATTGCTCACAAATTAGTTTACCTCATCTAAGTCTCTCCTGAGTTTGGGATATGAATTGCCAACTGCCTTCTGGATATTTTAATTGGCTACTAATATACAAGTCTAATGTGAAACCTAAACTTGTTTTAGTACCTAAATTAATTCTCTTTTAATTTTATCATATCCACTTAATCTCTTGAGCTAAAGTGAGTTATTCCATCTCTTCTTTGCTTCATCATCACATCTAATGAATCACCATAATTATACTACCTGCGAAACATTCTCAAACCCGCCCTGCCTCCTACCTCTCCTACTCATTCCCACTAACATCCATGATTGAGACTGATGAATGCACAAGTGTTTCTTAGACTTTTAAAATCCATGTTCACTTTGAAAAACATAAAACTCCATTATGTTATATCAAAGTTTAAAATGTGGTATTTAAAAGTAAAACCAAACTAAGGCATTTATATTCCTAGTCACTTTGAAAAACATAAAAACCCCATAATGTTATGTCAAATTTCAAAATACAGTATTAAGAGGAAACTCACATATTGATAATTTTCTCCAAATTCCACAGGTGTCCTGTTCCTCAGAGATTCTGATGCGATACTTCCCCATCCTGTGTCCCTTCTTCCTCTCTCTCTCATTTTATACCCACACTCACTTCCCCAAACACACATAACATCCTACCCTATGTACTACTATGTACACACAAACACAGTTGTAAGCTCCAGCCTTGAATTCACGTTTTCAATTACACCAGCACAAGCTGGTATGTCAGGCCTCAGGGCAACTGTTCTCTCCTGAAACTCTGAACCGCAAGTGCCTACCTCCTGAACTATTCATCCTTCAAATTTCATACTAACTATTGGAGGGTCTGTAAATACCTCCCTGACCACACCAACCCCGAAAAGAATAAATCATTTTCTCTCTTTTTAAACATATTTCTAGTGTTGAACTTATCGTGTATTATAATTTATTTGATTATATAATTGCTGCCCCCAATTTCAGAGGGATTCTTAAGACAGAAATTCTATTTTATTTATCTAATGTATCATGTACCTAAGGAATAGTAGGCATAAGCCTCATTTTGTTGAACTCCACTAATATTTTTATATATTACTTCAAATGATGACAACTTATGCAGCATGCTTAAAATGTGACTGAGCGGCATTTTAATAACTAAAAATATCTTTGGATGTTTATGTACACAGTTATCAAAAATATGTTATATTGACATGTGTATTCATCAATCTAGACTTGCGTAACCAAGTGACACAAGTACAGTCACACTACTTCCTAGTCCTCTGTATACCACTCTCTCTCTCTTCTTCTCCTCAGGGTTTTGGAAAAGGCATGTGCAATCAAGCTCCTTTTCCTCACTTCTCATTTCCTCCTCACACCCACAGAAATAGAGTATTTCCACCCACTTATATATAAAACTGCTATGATAAATGTCTCCCTTGACCTTTATATGGCCAAACTGAAAGGGCACTTTCAATTTCTAAAGTTATTTACTGATTTTCTGCTGCATTTGATAGTGCTGGCCATTCTCCCTGTATCCCTCTGCTACCTTGACTTCTGGTTCTCCACCTTTAACTCTTAGTTTTAATTTGAGTTGGGGATCCTCCTCCTTTACCCACTTCTTAGGCATTGTTTTTACATACAGCTTTCTCTGGTATTTTTCTCCTAATTAGATATCCTTCGGTGAGGGCATCTACTTTCCCAGTTAACTGAGAGCTTCAGATTCATATACCCAACTACCTCTTCGGCTTAACACCCTTCAATAAAGCACAGGTACCACAGAGTCATCATATCAAAATCTTAACTGCTCACTGCCCACCTACCCTTGGGCCTGGTTTGATTCTTTAATTCTGTCGTTCGGGCAATGGTTCTTAATCACCCAAATCAAAGATATGATAGTCCCCCAAACATTTCCTTTACAAATCATATTAAAATGACAGTCTCGAACTCCCCATTTGACTTCTTACTCAGCTCTTGGGATGTTTCCTTCTTACACCCTCTGCTTCTGCTATAGGTCAAGACCATATCCTATTTCTCTGGACTATTACAATAGTCTATTAACTGATATGCTTCTCTCTAAGTTTTGCCCACATCACATTCATACTCCATTTTCCCTATCTCTGCCAAAGTAATGTATTTTATATATACACACATAGACATAGAATAAAAATCTAAGTCACTCTTCTAATTAAAACCCATTATCACAACCTTATAATTAAATGTAGTGTTTGTTTATATTTTGACCTGGTTATCACACACTGAAATCTAAATTTGCCCTACCAATACCAGTCAGAGTTGCATTCTTATATTTTCTAATCTATTCCATTCAAAATAAAAAATAAACAAAAACTAGCCTTTATTGATTTTCAGACCCACAAAGAGGTTAGGACTTACAAATTGAAAAACAATGACCTACAAGCTAGAGCTCAAGTTTAATCACTCCCTAACTTCAATTTATCGTTGTCCTTTCATATTAACCTAGAAAGGCACATATGTGGCACATACCACTATCTAAAGAGAATCAGCAGAAATAAGGAATGAGTGCAAATTTTAAATTCTTCAAGTCACTCACAGAGAGGCTTACTATTTAGTTAAAAATGTATGTGATAGGCAAAGGGATTGTCAGAAAAGAGAAGCCAAAGAACCTCTTTACTTTCAGCCACTATACTCAGAGGGGCCACCAAGAAAGTTCCAGTAAGTACAAGGTAAGTTACAGATTTCTACAACTATAAGCCTATGGAAAGTTAAAAAAAAAATTTAAAAAGGGTTAGAAATCTAAAGTCTTCTTGGGAGGGATGACAATTTAAATGGAATCTCAATGTGTGGAACATATTTTAAAATAAATGTGAATTCCTCAAAAAACTTTACAAGAAATGGCTTGAAACCTAATATAAGTAAAATATTTTTTATGACCTAGAACATAAGATTGAAAGTGAGAATCGTAAGTTTTTCCATCATCAGAAAATGGCTTTACAGTATTAAAAACATGGCAACATCATTAACAGCACTTCAAGCTTTGTACTTATTTTCAATATACTTATAAAACATCTTTATTATGGCTAAATAAAAATTATTTTTATTCCTTAAAAAGTACTGATTAAATGTAGGATGATATTCAATGGTATTCAAATACACTTACTGAGATAAAATATATAACCACCTATGAAGCCTCTTGAAATTTATTTAACAAAATATTATATCCTAAAGCATAAATAATTTCAAATTATTTATGACTGTATGTAATATACAAAATATAGGCATTTAAATATATCATTTAATTTTGGTCTTTACCAATGCTAATAAAAATGACTTGTCACAGCAAAAGTATTAAAAAATTTACTTTTCTCCTTGGAGACTTTTTATAATTGTATCACTTTATTTTGGTTTTGCTTCAAAGAATTTTCAGATAGCTAAAGAGATCTATTTAAAAGTCACTCTTAGGACACATTTCTTCAAAGGCTTTTGCTTAAAATCTTGGAAGGAGGTACTTCCCCAGTAGTGACTACTTGGCCATAACTATTGTCGCTGGTGAGACATTTTAAGGAACTGTTTAATTTTTCTTACCGGAAGTACAGTTCTTCTCAGAAAATTGATTGTATCTTGCTACTCTGCAGAATTTCAAAGCTCTTTACATTTTATTTAATCAAAATCCACATTTGCAACCCAGAGTTTACTTATTTGGTTTCTTCTCTACTTCCTGCTTTGCCCTTGGGTTGGTCACTAGTATCTACACCTGATGCTACTGTACCAAAAATGAAAAAAGATGGGCAATCCACTCTTTCAGACTGCCCACTGCTTTTAAATAACTAGTGCAAAGGTGGGCAATGGACGGCCTGTGCATTCATTCCCCCTATTCTCCTGCTCCGCCCCTCCCTGCATACCTGCCCCACTACTTTCACGGAGACTTAGTCTCCAGCCCATGTACATTCCAAGTCCAAAAGGGACAGAATCTGTTGCCCGAGAGCCCCCAAAATGTGTCCCTTTCCTCTAATTAGTTTTATGCTTCTAATACAGCATTAGAAACATCACTTAACAAATATACTTACTACAGACCTCTTGTTTACAGATCACTTTATCTAATTCAACAGTAGCCTTTTTATTACGTATACACCAGAGTAGCCCAGAGTATCTATGCCCACATGCAGTGTGAATTAATAAATTCTGTAACCAGTGATTTGTGTAAGAGATGACATTTTCAGGCAATAAAACCAATGCCATACTCACGGTGAAGGTTGGTGGGGCTGGGTTTCAGCATTTCTTGGTGTTTTGCAGACAGCAGGCTTCGCCATGTCCCTGACAACACACCTGGGGCGCATGATAGACAGCACAACGCACTATTAATTATCAAAAGGGTAGAACAAACCTGGAAATTAAACACGGTACTAAAAACACAGTCTGGGGGAAAATCTTTGCAAGCCCCTTGAATATTAACCTGGAGGCCCTGGAAAAGCCCTCAGTTCTAGAAATCGTTGATTCAGGCTTCCAAGAGCTCAGTTATGCCCAGATAAAATCTGTGCTAGCCTCTGTATTGGACTTTTCTTTTAGCACCAATAAATGACTGTCAGCAGCTCTCCCCATAGACGAAACGCTACTGAAAGCTTTGGCCTCACCATATGAAGACATCTGAAAGCTTTAAAAATAGGAACAGCTGCTGTGCTGGTATGTTATAAGATGAGCAGAAATTTCCGTAGCTTTGGCTACTTTACTAAAAGACACAGACCCTTCATGCCATCATCACAACATAGGTCTTCCTCCTAATGCAAAGAGAGATCTAAGGGACCTCCTGGACAGCCTCATGTTCAAAATCCCCTTCCAGCTAAGCAAAGAGGAAGAGTTAGAAGAAAATATTCGCATATGAAGTATGTGTGCGCATGTGTGTAAAGTAAATAGAGAAGATACATTAACAATGTGAAAAAGTAGTAAAAGGTCTTTGTGTCTGAAGTCCTCCATCACAGGATAAAGAAATGAGGAAGGCAGAGGACTCGACAGAATTCCAAAGGGCAGCAGGAGGACACACTCTTACCCTCATGTCAACAGGGCATCCAGGCACTGGAGAGACTGATGGGCAGAAATCATAAAACACCCCCATAGCTCAGATATTCCTCCACCTCAAAGGCTTTAAAACAAACACTGCTTTAAATAAGGATGCCTTAGTTATAAAGCTGAGACCCCCACGTTAGACTTTTCTAAATGGAAATACCCCTTTGGGACCCAGGATTCTCAAACATAAATCGGGTTCTTAAAACTTTCACAGAGGTTTCTTGGAGGGCTGACTACACTGCTTATATTTAGGGCCAGTCATGTTTTTTCCAGAAGTGGATCACTGATGAGGCAGTGGCAGATAAACTTTTCCCAGAGCTAAAGGCTGCAAGGGCTAAATTCTCCACCTCTGAAAGAAATGGTACAGGGAGACATGAACACGGTGTGCACGCGCGCACGCAGACACACACACACAGACAGAGACACAGACACACACACACACACACACACACCCCGCCACCCCGCCCCCACCAGCCAAACAAGGTCAAGTGAGACTTAAAATCGGTTTGTAACACGAAGATAAAAGAAAACGGTGCCATTGCAAAGCCTCAACACATGTCCCTCCAGGAGTAAAGAAAAAAAGTGACTTGTCAAGAGATTCTTCTAAACTCTTAATGGATTGGTCAAGAGATCTGAGTCCAGAACATCTACAAGAACCACAAGGCCTTCTGTTTTGTTGCAGTTTTATGGGAGGAGACGGCCACTCAGACTGCAGAGCTAAGAGAACATTCGATAAGACAGTTGTTAGGGAGAAGTAACATCCTAGGATTTCTGGACTCTGAAATTTTAATCTAATTTATGTAGAGTACAATGTCCAGGAAGTTAAATTTCATAGCACTGGAAAATCTTTAGCAACTCTCACCCAACTTAAAATAGCGCAAACAGGATGTTTTCATCTACATATACTGGTTTGTGAAAATATCGGCAATACCACCAACTTTGGAAAATTTTTGAAGAACTGTATCTGTAGGAAACTCTATGCAGCCTTCTTAGTTCATTTCTTTTTATCCTTAAAGTTTCAGATATTTAATAACAAAGCTTTGAAATAAATCTGCTACCTAATTAGTTTTCCTTAAATATGCTTTTAAGTGATTCTTTTCTAATAAATGTGGGATATCAGCCAGCATTAGGGAGGTTTCTAAGCAAAACATTTTTTTTGAGTGAAAGACAATGTCTGTGTAGGAAAATTGTCATCTAATCTCAAGTACCCAGTAATCTTGGTTTAAAATTACAATAGTTGACATACTGCTCCTGTCTGTTCATAGTACAGAGTCATTCAAATGAAAACTTTATTTAAATATCTGAACTTTTAAGTTCTATTAGATAATGGAACTAAACATAAATACTCAAAAGCAATATATTTAGAATTAACTGATAATATACTTAACTTAAAATATATTTACTTGAATCAATTAATATGCTTTAATTAATTTTTTAAAAGCAGGACAACAATATATTTTTCATGCAACATATATCCTGGCCACAGGACTAAAGTGATATAGCTAGCTACTGGATCTGAGTTTTTAGGGGGGAAGAACTATTTATTTCAGATTGCTAATTTTTCAACCAATTTAAGGGGCCTCTAAACTATGGTAATATACATTCTATAATACATATTCCTACATTTTCTAATTTCATTTCTTTTTAGCTGAATTTTTTTCTAGATATAAGAAAGCCCAATGCTCAAATTCATAAAGACATAAAGAAACATGATTTTTATTAGCCTGAGTAAATTACCATAGCTCTAAAGTTATAATTGTTGTGTCTTGCATATCTCAGTTTTGGAGGGATAAAATATAAGAGTTTTGACAGTTCTAATGTAAAGAAAATGTCTAGCCCCAGCACTTTCTACTATCTCCCATGCATTAAAGTTATTATAATAAGATAGACCCCTCATACTCTGAGAAGCACAATGATATTTCAGCATGTTGCGGCTATTTCTCTACATATGATTTATTCCTTCAGCCAGACAGAAGGAGGCCACAAATGGTGCCACAATGCTGACTTCCCAGACTTACTACAGGTTGAGAGACTAGGAGTTCAAAGATTTTAACTTCTTATTCTTTGCAAAGTATTTAATTACTCAGGGATTTATCAGACTTGGGCTCTTAGCAGTCTTCAAACTGCACGTGAGCATCCCCTCCCTATTCAGGCAACACTGAAGATTTATGCAAATGAGACATTCTGCAACCACCTCAAGGGAAGCTCCTGTCTCCGCCCTCAGTGCTTCTGGGTTTTATGAATGACTGCAATCAATGCGATGAATGGCTGCCAACTGCCCACTCAGCCACTTCTACTCTCCCGTGCACTACACACGGGAGAAACTAGCACTGCCATATCCTGCCGATGAGGCTACAAAGGCTTTCATCTCTCCAAAAAGAACTAAGTGTGCTTCCAAATACAGTATGTAAATTAAAAATCCTCAAGGCCTCACCAAAATTACAATTTACATAATTACTTTCTCTCTTTTCAGTTTCCATTTTGGTGCCTGCAATCACTAGTGCCCTCCCCTCCCACATCTGCAAACAAACAAACAAACAAACAAACAAACCAAACCTCACTATTTTATGAAACCTTATCTCTTTTTTGAACTTGATCAAAATGGTTTTATCTTTCACGACTAATGCCTGGAAACGAGTTGTTGTGCACTAAAGCTGAGAGACTGTGACGTTTACATTTTGTTCTCAATCTTTTGGTTTTAGAATTTTACTAGGTTTCTCCTATAGGGATCAATGAAGGCAATAATCACACCCAAACAGGGGAGTGTATTTGCGCTTACTCACCAAATATTATTATCCTAGTCTCCATTTGTCCTAAGGGACCTTAGGGGCAGCTAAAACAACATAGGTTTAAGAGAATGAAACGTTTTTCAAATATGCAATCTTCTGATTTGCTGACCACTGATTAAAAATACATAAACCAGGAAAAATAGAAAAGAAGAGACCTCACAGGTTTGTAGCTGCCACTTCCTTCTAAAACTCAGATTCAGGGCTTCGCACCGCTCTTCTGCCTGTCATTAGCCAAAAGTACCTAAAATACCTGCAAAATCCCTATCTTCAACTCAATCCTCTATTACCACCAGACATCCAACTGCTTTCTCAGTATTTTCCTTTGACTTTCTAATAAGCTTCTCAAAATCAACACTTCCAAGATGGAATTCTTCATCTTTCCCCACCATCCATCCATCTGCCAACAGGCATCTCTAATCTTGGCTGAATTGCAAATACATTTCTTTAGCTATTCAAGCTAAAAACTTTAGACTTGGCTCCTCTTTTCTTTCACACTTGGTGTCCATCTAATCCACCAGATTGGTTCTACTTTCAAACTAGATGCCAAATCTGACCATTTCTCACCTCCTCCACAATAGTCCTGAGCCACTATCACCTACTTGGATTCCCACCATGGACTTTTAAGTGGTTGTCAGGCATTTACATTTGTCCTCCTAGGGTTTATTCTCAGCACAACAGCCAAACGGACTCTTCTGAAAGAAAAATCAGACCACGACTCCTTTGCTCAAAATCTTGCAATAGCTCTCCAGTTTACTCACCTAAAATGCCAGAGTTTTTAGAATATAATCTGGCCTCCTATAACTCTTGGACTTCATCTCCTATGGCTCCCTCCCCCTGCTGATTACTCTGTTCCAGACACAGCAGCCTCCATGCTGGTCTTCCTCAGACACACCAGGCGTGGTCTTGCCTTGAGGCATTTGCACCAACCCTTCCTTCTGTCTGGAATGCTCTTGCCTGATGTTGGTATGACATACCCTGTTACCTCCTTCAAGTTTTCACTCACAGGTCAGTTTTTGATGGTTCCTACTTTGATTATCCTACTTAAAACTGTACTCTGCTTCTCCTTCACCACCATAGCCCCAAACTTTGAATACCTTAGACCTTGTTCAGCTACCTACTAAAATGTATTGCCTCCCCCTGGTGAAATATGAACCACTCAAGAGTAAGGAGCTCTGGTTCACTGACATACTGCAAGAACCTAGCACAGGCCTCACATAAAAGCCACTAAATCTTTGTCAAATGAGAGAATAAGTTAAAAAAGCCAATCAAGCTTGAATAAGTAATTTTGTATGCTAAAATTTAGTGATTTAGAACAGATTCTAGAGGATACTTTTTTTGTAGGCTTACAGAATTCCATAAAATATTTATAAAATATAAATTAATTCCTGACTAATAAGTTTTTTGATTTGAATAACTCTCCTAATTTGTTTTTATTTAACTAAGGTTCTGAGCAAGAAAAAATGTATTTGTCAGCAT